CCTTGGCCTCCCAAAGCACTGGGATTACAGGCTGAGCCACCGAGCCTGGCCTTCCTGTATTATTAACATCTTACATTAGTATGGTAAATTTGTAACAATGAATGAATCAATATCAATACACTATTATTAACTAAAACCCATACTTTATTTATATTTTCTTTTCTTTTTTTTTTTTGAGTTGGAGTCTCTATCACCCAGGCTGGAGTGTAGTGGCATGCTCCCGGTCGCCACAGCCTCCACCAGCTGGGCTCCAGTCATCCTTCCACCTCAGCATTCCAAGTAGCTGGAACTATAGGCATGCACTACCATGCCCAGCTAATTTTTTGATTTATTGTAAAGACGAGGTCTCACCATGTTGCTCAGGCTGGTCTCGAACCTGTAGGCTCAGGCAATACTCTCGCCTCGGCCTCCCAAAGTGCTAGGATTATAGGCTTGAGACACTGCAGCCAGCCTATTTATATTTTCTTGTCTTTTTTCTGTTCCGGGATCTCATCCAGGAAATCACATAGCATTGAATCGTCACAACTCCTTAAGTTCTCTTGGCTGTGACAGTTTGTCAGGTTTTCCTTGTTTTTGAAGGCCCTAATAGTTTTGAGTATTGATCAGGTAGAGTGCCCCTCAGCTGGGATCTGTTTGGTGTTTTTCTCATGATTAGACTGGGGTTATGGGTTTTGGGAAGGAAGACACAGAAGGAGAACCACTTTCATCACATCATATCAAAGTAATATACTATTAACACAACCTATCACTGTTGATGTTAACTTTGATCATCTGGCTAAGGCAATACTAATCAGGTTTCTCCACTGTAAGGTTACTCCTTTTCCCTCTTTTCATACTGTACCTTCTGGAAAGAAGTCACTATGTGAAGCCCATAATTAAGGAGTAGGTGTTTATGTACCCTTCTCCTTGAGGATGCAATATCTATGTAAAGTTATTTGTAATTCTTCTGCATGGGAGACCTACCTATTCTCTCACCCTTATTTATTTATTCAATCATTTGTTTATATCAGTATGGACACATGGAGATGTATGTTATACTTCGGGTTACAATTCAATACTATATTCATTTTGTTTCTCAAATTGTTCCAGCTTTGGCCATTAGCTGCCATGTGTCCTTTTCACACATCTGCATCATTGTGTGTTTTTTGTTTCTGAGCACTTTCTTACTTTCTGGCACTATATGATGCCTCAAGCTCATCTTGTTTTAAATACATGTTTCATTTAAAATATGTGTTAAATTTTTTAAATACTTTCATAACTGATGTATCTTATTAAAATGAATTGCTATTTCATAACTTAGGACCTGGGACAAGTTAGTTCACTTGGAGAGGGTAGAAATACGATGGAGTAACCCCCAAAAACAGAATTATCTTTTGGATGATGGACCCTTGCAGTATAGACTTCTCCCACTAGGTAAGTGTTCTAGTAATTCATCGACATCAGTGTACCAGCGAGCATTGTTGTAAGAGGCTTCAGTGAATTTTTGTGAAAATCCTTTCAACGCATTTGCCCATTTCATAATGACTGATGTACACAAAAAAACCTGCCAACCCACACTGAGTGTGCTGCAGTTTTTGACCAAAAATATCATGACCCCCATGCCTCACCCTTCCTATTCACTCCATGCCATCCTGAGCAACATTTTTTTGTTTCTCCGAATGAAAAAAAAGTCCTAAAAGGGAAATATTTTGTCAATGTGGAAGAGGTAAAACAAAAAATGATAGAAGCACTAAAAGGCATCAAAATTGACAAGTTCAGAAACTTTTGAGCAGAGGACAAAGCATCTCAATAGGTGTATTGCATTAAACAAAGAGTACTTTGAAGGTGACTGAAGTTTATGCACATAAGAATAAATACAAGCCGGGCTTGGTGGCTCAGCCTGTAATCCCGTGCCTTTGGGAGGCTAAGGTGATGGACTGCCTGAGCCCGCGGGTTCGAGACCCGCCTGGGCAGCGAGACCTCATCTCTACAATAAAGAAATTAAAAAAAATCAGCCGGGCGTGGTAGCGCGTGCCTGTAATTCCGGCTACTCGGAAGGCTGAGGCGGAAGGATCGCCGGAG